CACAAGTAGGGGGGAGGGAAAGGCCTTGCATGCCTCTGACTTCTGCTGAGCACACAACCCACCTAAAACTTCCCCCTGAACAAAATATGTCTACTGCTGCCTCACCCTTCTTGTTCATCCAAACGACACTACTCACTCCATGCATATGAGACAAAAAGAGGGTCAGTGATGAATTGGAAATTAAGACACAGAGCTGCGCTTTGCATCTTATCCAGGGTCATCTGGAAGAGCCAACACCAGGGTGCAGCTATTCCAAATTCCAGTTCGGACTTCACAGGGTCATAGACCTAGAGCAGGAAAGGGACCTCACACTCCAAACCCCTCTCCCCACATCTTGTATATAAGGAAACGAAGGCCCAGAGATTAATTAACTAGCCTAAGGCCATAAAAGGTTTGTCAACGGCAGGTTTAGAACCCAGGTCCCCTGTCTCCTATGCTAAACTTTTCGTTCTTTTTTCACTAGAAGGCTAATCATAGAATCACAGAATCTAGGAGTCAGAATCAGCCATTTAGTCCAATTCATACAAGAAAGAATCTCCCAATGCAACATACCTAATAGTAGTCATGGGGCAGCTAGGTGGCAAAGTGGATAGAGTGCCAGGCCCAGAGTCAGGAGGAGGACCTGAGTTCAAATCCAGCCTCAGATACTTACTAGCTAGGCAAGTCACTTAACCCAGTTTGCCTTAGTTGCCTCGTCTATAAAATAATCTGGAGAAAGAAACAGCAAACCACTCCAGTATCTCCGGCAAGAAAACCCCAAAAGAGGTCACAAAGAGTCAAACACGAGGGAAAACAACAACAAAAAAAAATAGTAGTCATCCAGCCTCCAGGGAGAGGGAATCCACCTCTTCCTACAGTTGCCCATTGCACCTTGGTCACTGAATTCTGTATAACATGTATTCATTCACCTAACCTTCAGTCCCTATACCATTAAAGTGTGACAACAGCTCTACAAGACAGAAACAGAACAGAGGAAGAAAGAGCAGACTTTTTCAGCAGAATATTGTTTCATTCTAAAAATCTAGCTTTTCAAAGCATAAATATTCAACTTGCTTCTTAGATCTCAGGGCACCTTAGGCACTCAATGGATTCAAAATTTAGATTCGTCATAAATCACGATTTACAAACCCCACTTACATATAAGTCTCTCACTGGGACTATCTCACTTTTGCATTTGTATTTCCAAATGCCTTCCACCTAGCACGGTTTTGTTTTGGTTTTTTTTAATGCTTGATAATTGATATTAAAGGATATATATATATCCTTGATTAAACCAGAGCACCATGCCACAAATTATCAATGCTTATTTCAGTGCCCTTGGCCTTCAGGAGGAACACAAACAAACAAGGGCTGTATCCCAAAGAGATCATACAAATGGGAAAAGGACCCACATGTACAAAAATATTTATCACAGCTCTTTTTGTGGTGGCCAAGAATTGGAAATTGAGGGGATGCCCATCAATTGGGGAATGGCTGAGCAAGCTGTGGTATATGAATGTAATGGAATACTATTGTGCCATAAGAAATGATGAACAGGCTGACTTCAGAAAAACCTGGAAAGACTTGTATGGTCTGATGCTGGGTGAAATGAACAGTACCAGGAGAACAGGGTACATAGTAACGGTGATAGCAGCCACGTTGTGTGATGACTAACATTAACAGACTTAAACCATTCTCAACAACACAAGGATCTAAGACATCTCCAAAGGCCTCATGATAGAAAATGCTACCCACATCCAAAGAAAGAACTATGGAGTCTGAATGCAGATAGAAGCATACTAGTTGCTATTTTTTTCTTCTGTTGTGTTTTGTTTCCTCTTTCTGGTGGTTCCTCCTATAGGATCTAATTCTTACCTACAACATCACTAATGTGAAAATATGTTTAATAGGAATGTATATATTTAGCCTATATCAGATGGCATGCCATCTTGGGGAGGGTGGTGGGAAGGGAGGGAGAGAAAAATTTAAAACTCAAAAGCATATGGAAGTGATTGTTGATAAATCAAAATAAATTAATTAAAAATAAAATAAAACAAACAAACAAGCAGATTTCACTTTCATATCACCAGAACAAAACCAGATCAGGGTCTTATTTTCTTTTCAAACATTTCAGAAACATTTTCAACAAGGGATAAAAGTCTTTCCAGTAACCAAACTTCATTGGAACATCTCTATCACTGAGTATTCCAACTAAATGAAACTCAGTTCTAAGAGTAAAATATGAAGTGTAAATTTAGAGGCAGCTAGGTGGTACAGTGCATAGAGTGCTGGGACCAGAGTCAAGAAGTCCTGAGTTCAAATGCAGGCTTAGACACTTACTAGCTGTACGACCCTGGGCAAGTCACTTAACCTCTGTCAGCTTCAGGTTCCACATCTGTAAAATGAGGATAAAGATAGCACTTACCTCCCAGGGTTATTGAGAAGGTCAAAGGAGATATTTGTATATAAAATAACTGTAAAGTGCTTAGCACAGTGAATAGCACATAGTAAGGGATATACAAATGTTAGCTATCACTATTATTATTTCAGAAACATTTTCAACAAAGGGCAAACAAACATCTTTCCAGTAATCATTTCATCAAAACATCTCTATCCCTAAACATTCCAACTAAGTGAAGTTTTGCTGTGACTCCATTTAAGCAACAATGGAACTCAATTTTAAGAATAAAATATAAAGTGTAAATTTAGAGGCAACTAGGTGGTGCAGTGGATAGAGCACCAGACCTGGAGTTAGGAAGACCTGAGATATTTGCTAACCATGTGACACTAAGTAGTGTCTGGTCACTCTGTCTGCCTTGGTTTCTTCATCTCTAAATAGGGATAACAATAGCACCCACCTTGCAGAGTTGTTGTAAGGACAAAATAAGTTAATATTTGTAAACTCCTTTGCAAACCTTTATTAAAGCCCTATGGAAGCAGAAATACTAGCTATGATTAATAAGGGTGGGGAATCATCATCAGTCTATTCAATGTCAACTCTTCCTCTCAGACAGGGACTGGATGTTCGAAGTTTTTGTATCCTGAGGACTTAGCCTAGAGTCTTTCATTTAACTATTGCTCAAAAAAAAAATGTTGGTTGAAGTGAATTGGAAGGGAAAAATGCAACTGCTCAAGCCAACACACCATCAACTGAACATCCCCCATAAGCACAACCCCATGGGAAAATTCCAAAAAGATATAGGTGCAGTACCAGTCCTTGAGGAGTTTATCTGTCAGGAGGGAAAGGATACATACACAAAAAACAAAAATACAGGAAAAAGCAACATTCAGAACAAGGACAAATGAATAAGTCCCATTCAAAGCGCATCTCTAACTTTAGAGGGAATATAAAACAAAGAAGCAGTAAGAGGCCCGCAGCTAGGCACGTATGGGAACAATATCAGACTTGTGCTCTGGATGCTAATCCTATCTGAGACAGACTGTGCATATATTTTCCCAGTGCCAAAGGTAGACCAAAACAAGGGAAGAAAAATAAGCTTTGACTGGACAGAATCAGAGACAGAATCAAACATATCTGTAGAGGAGAAGACTCCAGTCTCCCCTCACCAATCCTACAATTACTCACTGGGGAATCCTTCCAAGGAGTCCTCCTTCTCTGACTCATCAAGTCTAAAAATAAAACAACCATGAATATTTATCAATCCAGCATTCCTGTAGCTGCCTGTACCCACAGCACCCAGGAAGCCTGCATCAACTTTTGCAAGACCTTCTGAATCCAAAGAGTGGAACCCAAAAGGACACTTGTTAATGACAAATGTTCCTAACAACAGAAATACTTACTCCGCTACTGTATGTGCTGACTCAATTCTCTTATAGAGAAAAGTAGAAATAAAGTCAGTTTTGAGAAAACTTGCTGCTTTAAATAGCTGCCACCATGACCTTCCCAATTCTCTTTGTGTCTCATATGCCAAGTATCCCCCACGAAGAAGCCTGATTCTATTTAAGGAAGCCACTATTCCAATGTCCACTGAGCACAGGATGCTTTTATTCCACAATTAATGATTATTTAAATGTAATCAACAAGGATCACTGAATTAAATTCACTCTAAAAACTCTAAAACACTAAAAAACAAAAAAAACACTAAAATACTCTTTAAAGACTTTTAACCTTGAGTCTGTGAACTTTTTTTTTAACATTTTGATACTATTTCAATATAATTGATTTCCTTTGTAATCCTATGTAAACCTTTGTAATTCTATTTTATATACTTAAAAATATTATTCTGAGGAGTGGTCCAGAGGCTTCACCCAGAATGCCAAAGGCAACCATGTCACAAAAGAGGTTAAGAAACCCTGTCCTACAGTATAAAAGCCTAATTTAAGTTCCTGTTTTAAAGCAGGTTTTAAATGAAGAGAAATGACAAGGCACCTGCAGGGAGAAAAGTGTCCAGGGACAGGAAACTATAGATATAGAAGCTTGTGCAGAAGATAAACTGCTTACTTTAGAGTTTTCCATAGAGCCTGGGTTCAGGATTCAGGTGAGGCGTTATTCAAATGTGGCCTCAGACGCTTCATTTAACCTAAGTCAGTTTCCTCATCTGTAAGATGGGAATGATAATACTTATTATTTATAAATTATAATATTTATATATATATATAAATAAATTATAATATTTATATATATAAATTATAATATTTATATATAATTATTCTTAAGTTATATCACAGCATTATAAGGATCAAATAAGATAATATATGTGAAGTCTTTTGAAAGCCTTAGAGCCCTATATATCTGTATTATTACAGATTTGGAGGCAAAATTCTGGTACTAGGAGAGGCAAGGAGATTGTTTTACAAAAGAAGACTCAGTTCTTGCCCTTCTAGCCTAATGGAAGAACAGGAAAAGATATGAAATGATCAACTTTTTGAACAAATGCACATGAACAGAGTCAATCCAATGTAGACAGGAACTGAGAGACCATTCACAAGTCCTGCCTCCTTGATGCTTATCAACACTCTTTCTAATTCTTAGTTCAATCTTTCACTGGGTTCCAGGTTTTCATCTGTGCCAACAGTTTTCTCTTGCTGCTGTTACTTAGCTTGAATGGAAGGAGAGCGAGGCAGTTCAGCCCTCTGTAATGAATGCTTCAGACTTTAAGGAGAAGGTAAGAATGCCTCTTATCCTATTTTCTGTTGTTTTCACCCAGATGAGAATGCTAAGATGACTGGGAGTTTCTGCTCCTATGTTCCACCTGTATCCCTGGGTTAAAACGGATGACAAAAAGGCACAAGCATTTCCTTGGCCTAATAAACATAAAACTAACCCTCACTTCCCATATGACCACAAAATTTATTTTAGGAAACATAAAACTCATAAGGATAAGAAAAAGGCTTTTTGTCAACAAGTTAACAGGTTTTCTTTAACTTTAAAAGGAAGTCTTAATTTCCTTCAGTTTCCCAGGTCCTTCAGTGTTATTCAGTATAATCCTCCTGCAGCTCAATATGGGAAGTAATAGGTAGTAGGAAGAAAGTAGGCAAAACAGGCCAAGATTCCAACCACCAAAAAAGTGCTTCATCACCCACATGTTGCAAAAGCCCTGAGAAGTTATGAAACTAAGAAGAAGAAATGGTGATTTGTACTCCTCCTCCCTTCCACATTCACTTACTTCCACTTAAGAGAAAAGAGAAGAGTCAGTTTCATCAATGGGCAGAGAAAACACAAAGTATGTCCAGACCAATTAAAATTGATGGTCCATGCCCTCTAGAAGCTTATCCCTGCTTCCTAGAATCAACCCCCTCTGCCCTTTTTTTTTTTGAAGGTAGAAAATACCACTTTCTGCATGATGTCTTTCCTGATCTCCCACTGCTCATGCTCTACTCCAAAAAAAAAATACCCTGTATTTATTTGTATATAATTATTCATGTCAATGTTATCTCTCCTGATAGAATGTAAGCTCTTTGAAAGCAGGGACTGTTTCATCCTGAGTATTTCTATCACCAGCACCCAATATCGTCCTTTGCATATAAGTAGGGGGATATTGCTAGTTAATCTATGAGGATGAAACCCAGATAGGAAAATGCACTCTTTAATCCAGAACCTAAAAGTCAATCAACCGATCAACAAGCATTTAGTAAATGCCTACTGTTTGCCGGGAAAGTAAGATCAAAGAATGAAACCACTCCTACTCCCAAGGAACTTTTAATGTGGAGACAAGGACATAGATAAATATATACAGCATAAATATAAAGCAAATAAATACACATCTACACAAAGAAGTTAAACCCAAGGTAGTCTGGAAGGCAGGACACACTAGTGGCTGGGGGAATCAGGAACAGCTTCTTGCAAGAGATGGAATTTGAGCTGTAAAGAAATCGACCAACTTCCTGAGGGGGAAGAACGGATGGAGTGCATTCCAGGCATGAAGACAGGAGGTGGAATGCCAGGAATAAGGAATAGAGAGGTTAGCTTGGCTGGATCTCAGAGTTTGGGAGAGCTAGGTGGCGAGTGGATAGAACAGTGGTCTTGGAATCAGGGTGATTCATTTTTATGAATTCAGAAACAGCCTCAGACACTAGCTGAGTGACCCCTGGGCAAGACATAATTGTTTCCCTCAGTTTTCTCATCTGTAAAATGAGCTGGAGAAGGAAATGGCAAACCTTCTAGTATCTCTGCCAAGAAAACCCCAAAATGGGGTCATGGAGACTTGGACACTATTGAAATGACTCAACAACAGAATTCGGGAGGGGGAATAATGCCCAGGGAGGCTAGAAATATTGATTAAAAAACCTTTCATTCTTTCCCACACCATTTAAGAATATTTTCCACACACAAACTGGAGTAATTGGCATCCCCTGTGCCCATCTTCTTAGGAGCTCCATTTACATCCCATCTCTTCCCACCTCTATGCTTCTGCTCATGCCCTATGCCTGGAATACTCTTCCAACTGGTAAAATCCCACTCATTATATTACTTTTAAAGCCCAACTCAAATTCCACAATCCCTCTATGAAACCCTCCCTAATGCCCCCAATCACTAGTAAGCTCTTATATCCTTCAGAAATACACCCAACACCTTATTCATATTTCATTCATGCCACATGCTAAGGGTACTAATATTATGCCTAATATTAAGTGCCCACTATGTGGTAGGCACCTTGCTAGGGGGTACCAAAAAAGGAGCATGACCCTACTCCTCAAGGAAGGGATACTCTTAAATGAATCCCTTAAAAAGACTATTAACTCCACAAAGGCAGGGAGCAAGCCTTACCTAATCATTGTATCTGCTAGCACCTTATAAGATGCTCTTCATAGTCAGAGTTTAATAAATGCTGATCAATGTGTTGGTGAATCCCAGCCTGAGTGGTATTTCTGTGTTCCAAGGTAGCCCTACTCTAAATCACACACAACTCCTCACCTCCCCAACCCTCCCACCTCACTCCCTTCTCCATACATAATCAGGTGTCCAGAAGTATTGAGCAGTCCCATGATAAAAGAGGGACTTCCCACATTACCTGCTTTGAAAAACAGCCCACGCAGAGCAAGGCTTTTTGTTTTAACATGAGCCAGCTTGTACTGAGGGAGAAGGGCACCGCTGTTAACCCAAGTAAAATTTTAAACTACACCAATTAACCTTGGATGGAGTATTTTCAAGGTTGTGAATTACAGATTTACAGCCACAAGTGGCCTGGAATCCTGTAGTCCAGCCCCCATATTTCACCAATGAAGAAGCTGATGCAAGCATTTCTTATAAATGCCAATGCCTAAATGCTCTTTTTGAAAATATGCTATCTCCCTTTTATCAAGGTGATAAAACCATCTAATCCTAGTAGCGAATTCTCTAAGAGCTTCCTACAGTCACTCATACACTTTAACTTCTAGCCAACAAACAGTACATAGTGCCTTACGGTTTTCAAAGCACTTTTACATATATATTATCTCATTTGATTCTAACAACCACTCTGTGAGGTTAAGTGCCATTATTATCCCCATTTTATCAATGAGGAAATTAAAAGCTAAGTGACTTGCTTGGCCCAGATCAGAGTTAGCAAGTGTTTGAAGGAGATTTTAACTCACTTCTTTTCTGATTTGAAAGTCCAGCTTTTTAGCCATTACCGTCAAACTGTCTAATAAAACAGTTCAACAGGGAGGTTTATGGTTTGATCTCAAGCAACCACCAAACAATTTTCAGTTTCTGAGACTCCTTCCAGATCAACTACCTCAACGGATTTCAAGCAGATTTATATAGAGCACCAGAGTGGTAGTCAGGAGAACTAGGTTCTGGTTCTACTCGTTTTACCTTCCAATTTTCTAACTAACAGGGTAGCTAGGTGGTGAAGTAGATAGAGTCCCAGCCCTGGTGCCAGGAGGACCTGAGTTCAAATGCGGCCTCAGACACTTGACACTTACTAGCTGTGTGACCCTGGGCAAGCATTGCCCAGCAAAAAACCAAACCAAAAATATTTTTTCTAACTATTTATTATATATGATATCTATTTTATATATTATATAACCATATATTATATCTATTCTAACTATTCCAATTTTCTAACATTCTGACACTGGATGTGCAGAATTTGTTCTCTGGAGCATACAAAAGACAAAGAATTTGTTTACATAAACTAATGGTAACTTAAGAGTTAAAAGAGCTCTTACAAAACGGGTCTCTAACCTGTTTTGTGTCATGGATGCCTTTGGAAATCTGGTGGATGCCTTCTGTCTCCCCCTCCCTTAATTCTAGTGATTATTTCTTGATTATGTTGATTATTACCAAGTCTCTGTTGATTATTTCCAATTCATCCTATATATGTCTGCTGCACACAGCTGTTTGCATACTGTCTTCCCCATTAAAAATATGAGCCCCTTGAGAGCAGGGGATGTCTCACCCTTGTCTCTTAGTGCTTAGCACACTACCTGGCACAGAGACAGCAGCTAATAAATATTTATTGTCTGACATGGCTTTAAGTGAATAAAATAGGATTATAAATGAAAGCAATTATATTAAAATAGTTCTATATTTTTTTAAAGTTCACAGATAGATGCCAGGTTGAAAACTCCTATATTAGAGATGGGCTCTAAGTATGGGATTATAGGATTTGGAGAAGGAAAAGACTTCAGAGATCATTTAGTCCAACACACTCATTCTATGGATGAGGAAACTAGGTCCCAGAGGAGGGGAAATGACTTGCCCACAGCCACACAAGTAGTAATCATCAGTCAGGATTCAAACCCTAGTGCTCTGACCAGGTGCAGCGAGGTGGCACGGTGCATAGAGTTCAAATCTAAACTCACACACCTATTGACCCTGGGCAATCACTTATTCGCTGTTGGCCTCAGTTTCCTCAGATGTAAAATGGGGACAATAATAGCACCTCGCAGGATTGTTGTGAGCATTAAATGCAATAATATTTGTGAAATGTTTACTCAGTATAACACTGGCGCGCAGTAGGTGCTTACTAAACGTCTGCTCTCTTTTCTGTGCCCTCCCACCTTCACCGTTGGCTGTAAATCCCAGGGCTCCTTCTGCTGTACGATGTTGTAGTTGATCTTGTCCAACCCCCACATCGTACAAAGGAGGAAATAAGAAACACAGAGAAATTACATAACTTGCCTAGAGTTACTCTGCCTCAAAATCCAAAGGCAGCTGCATCAGATACACAGGGACCAGTGCCTTAACTAGCTGTTTTTCCAGTGGGGCTCCATTTGACACAGAAAAGGCTAGGGAGGAAGAACGGAAGTAGGAATTGGTGAACTCAGACAAACTAATGCTAATAAGCAACAGCAAACCACTATAAATCTAAAGCTATCATTTCATACTCAACAGGGAAGTCATCTAATAATATGAATGAAGAAGTACAATCATTTCTGACCCAGGGAAGGCACTGCAGGAGATATACCCCAAGAAATGCTCCACGTACACCAAAATATTAACAGCAGCACTTTTAAAGGGAATATGGTAAGTGCCTATGATGAGGGAATTTCTGAACAAACTGGGGTGAGAGGAATGTGAAGGAATATTATTATGTGACAAAAAAAATAATGTATCTGCTACAAGGAAGGGTTCCAAGGCTGGTCAGTCAGTCAATAAATGTGTTAAGCTAATACTGTGTGCCAGGCACTACAGATACACAAAGAGGCAAGACAGTACTTGCTCTTGAGAAGCTTACAATCTAACAGGGAGATAACAAACAAATATAAATTAACTATACAAGATAAATAGGGGGAAAAAAGATAAATAAGAAATAACTAACAGAAAGACTCCAGAAGTAAGAGGCAATTAGGAAAGGCTTCCTGACGAAGACTGGATTTTAGTCAGACTTAAAGGAAGCCAGAGAAGGCAATATGCAGAAAGGAAGGTCATTCCAGGCATGGGGGAACAGCCAGAAGATAGAATGTCTTGTTGGTGAAGCAGCCAAGAGGCCAGTGTCACAGGATCGAAGAGTACGTGATAGAGAGCAAGGTGTAAAAAGCCTGTAAAGGTGGGAGGAAACTAGGTTATAAAGATTTTTGAATGCTAAAGAGCGGATTCTGGTTTAATCCTGGAGGTAGGGAATCTCTAGAGTTTATTGAATAGGGAGGTGACATGGTCAGACTTGAACTTTGGGAAAACCACTTCAGTGGCTGAATGGGGGATGGACTGTAGTGGGGAGAAACTTGGGACAGAAAGTGAGGGCCTGTAACAGACAGGGAGTACAAGAGAGATACTGACAAGGTGACAGGCCTTGGCAACAGATTGGATATGGGGAGGGAGAGATGATTAAGAGCCGAAGATGCCACTTTGACTGCCAGCCTGGGGGACTGAGAGGATGGTGGTACCCTCAACAGTAAGAGGGAAGCTTTGAGGGGAAAAGGGTTAGGTGGGAAGATAAATGAATGTAGTAAGTGACAAAGATGAAACAAGAACATCAATAAAATACAAAAAAAACCAGGAGTGACAAATATGAGAAACTCCTAGAAGCACTGAAGATTTAGATGAACTGATACAGAGAAAAGTAAACAGAACCAGAACAATATTCATAATGACAATTTAAATTAAAACATCGCTAAAAGGCAGCAGCCAGAACTGATTAATTATAAAGACCAAGCCTGGTCCCAGAGAACAGCCAACAAAACACAACCCTTTCCTCTCAGTACAGAGGTGGTGCACTATGAGTGCAAAACATAATATATGCAGTAAAATCACGCGGCTGTGGCTGTTGATGTCACTTAATGCTTTTCCCCCTCAACTGAAGGGATACAAGGATGAGGAGGTGGAAGAATTTTATAAGGGAAATAACTACGGTGTAAAAACAAAAGGCATCAAAAAACTTTTTTTAAGAAAGTGCTGTTAAATTATCAGTTAAAAAAGATAACATTTTCTTGGTTTGGAACATCCTTCCACTGAGGGACAAATGTACAACAAAGCGGGACTAATTTTAGCCTCCGATTCTACAGTTAACTGTCTTGTGACCTGACCAAAATCTGGCCAAATATCCCAGGTCTGTCTTTAACAGCTCATTCCCACAAGCTGCTTCTGATCCTTCTTGTTTCAACAATTCCTTCCACCAACACTTGCCCAATCCAGTGTTGTTCTTGCCAACCAATGGCACTTAGGTGGCAATAAAACCTGTCTCTCCGGGATACCTCACCACAACAGAGTATTTTTCAACGTATTATCACGCAGAATATCTTTTGCCTTACATCGTCCTTTTCTCTCCCTTATGGAAATACTGATTAATAGGAGGGGGGAAAGCAAAATACTCATTCTTACCTACTCTAGGCACAGGGAGCACAACGTGCTGAATCACACACTTGCATCTGGCTTTGGCAGAAGGAAAACAGCTACTTCACTGACCTCGATCAACCTCTGAGAGTCTCTCTCCCTACCTCCCATCCCACTTCAGTCCAGTGTGTAACATGGATGAGAAACATTAACACTTTGGATTTATAAACTTTCTTGTGTTATTTCCCATTCTTTTGGAGATTCTTGTATTCTCACAGGTCATTCTGGGGATCAAATGCATAAGAAGACACTTCAAAAAGGGTAAGGCACTCTGAAAATTAAAGGTATTCCAGTAACCCCCATTATCCTCATCAATGAATGGCAAAAACAAAAACTAAGAGGCTAAGTGACTGGCCTCAAATCACTCATCAAGTCTGAAGTGAAGCCAAGCAGGACCCCAGCCTATATATTCTTTCCAATATGGAAAGTATCTCTTATATTTCTAGGACTCCAAAAGATAGATAGATAGACAGACAGACAGACATAGATATACATACATATAGATGTCTATATATGTATATAATATATATACACACACACTTTAAGAAAATATACTTAAAAAGGAAGTCAATCAATAGGCATTTATTAGGACTTATCATGTGCTTGGTACTGTGTTAAACACTGGAGTTGTGCAGACTGTAATTCCATATTTGCAGATTATAGTCCCCCATTTTACAGTGTATATTCAGAGGTCTCTAAATCCCACAGTCATGACTTCTTAGCTAATTCAGTCATCTTTTCCTGGACAACCTGAATTTCACAGATATGGGTCAGTGGTTGTTATAATGTAAAACGGGGTCTCAGCCCTATTTTCACAGATTAAGCTAATAAAAGGATGATTCTTACAACAGAACTACCAACAGGACCTAATTAAGGAATTTACTAATTTCTTTTTCTAGCCAATTGCTCAAACTCAGTCCTTAAACCTGACATAATGCCTATTGTTCATTTTACCCAAACTCTCCTCCCTAACTCCTATGCAGCCCAAGACAAAAGAAAAAGAACCTTGAGTGACCTAGAGACAGAGGTCTAGGCTGTGTCCCCAGTTCCATTAAGGCCTTCCATGTAATCTTGGGCTTACTAGGTTCTATGAAATCAGATCTAGGCAAATTATAGCAACAGCACTGTTTCGAATCTTCCTCCTTTCTCTATCTCCTACACTCCCTTTTCCCTCAGCCAATGGCTATTTCTCCCCGTACCCCCCCCACCCCTATCCCAAAGCACTGGGTCGTAAGACAATCAAAATTCAAGAGGTAGAGGTTTCCAGCTTCTGTAATGACTAACCCATCTCTCCAGGACATACACCCCCAATCCCCCAACCCAAGTCATTCAGGCTGGCTAAAAGCTATAACTTGGAACTAACTGTTCTTGACCTAGACAATCGGAAGAAGGCCCAGACAGAAGGCATGCAATGGCTTGTTCAGAAGCTTTATTTGAAGCAAAAAGGAAATGGGGAAGATCCATTAATAAAATGGCCAGATCATTCACCCTCATTAAATTACACTCCAGTCCTTCAACGGATTTTAACCTATGACATGGCTTTTCCTCTTATCCAGAAATAATTTTATTAATGATCTTGGGGAAAGGGATTTCTCAAAAGGCTTTAGTTAATCCAACCTAATTATAACCACCAGGTCACCTTCTTCCCCCCCCCCACCAAATGCGTTTCACCTGGACCAACCCCTCCCACTAATTTTAAGAAATTGTAAAAGGATACAAGAAGTAGAAACTTCACAAACCCATATTTCTCTCTTTAAAAAAAAAATGAAGAATAGTAATCAGTAAAGAACTGGTATAATGGGGGAAAGCATTGGCTTCACAGTCAGAAAACCTGAAAGAATCTGGGATGTGTCACTCAGTATCTGTAGGACCATGTTTCCTCATCTGTAAAATGATGGGAGTTAGACTAGATCACAGAGTCTTAATCAGGGGTCCATGAACTTTTTTTTAAAACAATTTTGATAACCGTATTTCAATATTATCAATTTGCTTAATAATCATATATTTTATTTTCTGTATTTTAAGACATTACTCTGACCAGACTGCCACAGCACAGTGGATGATCTCTAGGAAGCCTTCCAGTTCTTCTGAGCACTTAAAAAAATCAAACATTTCCTATTTGGTTTCTTTATTTTTTTTAAAGGGCATGAGAGCCAAATGCAGGCAGAGGTCCACAATCAACAGAAACCTGAGGGTGGAAATCCTTTAGAGTGGAATTTGTTCACCTGGGTGGGAAACCCCCACCTACCACCAGCTACCACCATAATGACCACACCCACACACTACCCAAACGAAGACATTTCACGTCATCTACATCAACACATGCCAAGGCACAGAACTAACACCTTGCTCTTAACTGTGTAAAATTGTGATTTGTTTTAAACGCTCCTGATAACACTGTCTGGACAATGAGAGGCAGCAGAATTTACAAAATTAAAAAGTACAACCTGTTGGACTCAAAAGTGAGTTCAGTGAAGAAGCAACCCTAAAGGAAATGTTTTTATATCTGCAAGGTCACTGGGATTGCTCAATCAACAGCATTTACTACAGGAAAAACAAAAAAACCAAAATTTTGACTAAGGGCTAAGGGGACACTGGATCACAATGGCGCTAGAGTTTTGTGACAAGCTGTCAAGTGAAAGCTACTTGCATGTAAATTTTTCACGTGCAGCTTTGAGTCGAGGTGGGGGGGAAGAGAATTAGATAACAGAAATGAGACAGGTCCAAACGCATATTAATTAGCTGAAATGGTACACTCCTTGTATTTAGAGTCTGGAGATCTGGGTCTAACCTCTAGGGTACTTCCATGTCTTATTTTATATTCTAATTTACTGCTTGTGCCTTCCCCTAGCCCCACTAGACTTCTAAATTCCACAAAAGCCAAAATTGTTCTATTAGTCATTCACTACCAGAGAAGAAGGTGCTTAATCAATGTTTATTCAACATTTATTGAATAGCCTGGGTTCTCTGTGACTTGCTAGTCTTAGGTAAGCCACATATTTCCTCTCTCTAAATGAAAGGGTAGGATTAGGTGGTTCCACTAATTCACCCCAAAAGGACAGTACCATTTTTCTCATAACATGGTGCTAGTAGACAAGCATTTTCAAATACATTAGCCCTGAGAGGTGAGGGTCAGAGTATCATTTTTTAATTAATTTTTTTCAGTTAACAAGCATTTATTCTCTCTCTCTCTCCTACCTCAACTCCTTTACCCCACCCCAATGAGAAAGGAAAAAAGAAAACTAAGACAAGTAATTATTAGCTTTAGTTTACACAAAAGGAAACTGATGCCAAGAGACTATGGGAATTGCTTGCCCAAGAGCTTATAAGTGGCCTTGCCTAGGCCAGAAGCCATACCTGCTGACTCTGTCCAATGCCCTTTCCACTGTACTGCTTTAGATGAGGAGAAATAGGACTTAACCCAAGATATCAAGGGTTCCTTGAGGAAGATAAGAAGACAAACAAGGGAAGTCTGAAAGGTTTGAAAAGCACTTTACAAATATGACCTCATTTGAGCCTCAACCTGGGAAGTAGGTACTATTTATTATCCCCATTTTACAGATGAGGAGACTGAGGCAGAGAGATTATTTGACTTGTCCAGGATTTCACAGCTAGGAACTAAGTGTCTGAGGCTGTATTATTACCTCTTTCAACACCCAGTAGGTCCCTTAAGTAGCACTGGTCCAAATTCCCCTACAAAACAGTTGAGTTCCTTCCCTTTGATCCTAGATTGGAACCAGCCAACAGAATTCAGAATTAATACACAGGGACCTCATCCAATTTAAACTTCATAATTCTCTAACCATTCTCACAAAAGTTTAAAGTGAAGTATCTATGATATAAAATTTTAAAAAATCATTTTTATTATGAATCTACTTGGGGAGGAGGGTGTGAAAAATAAAAATAAATTTGTAGATCTTGGTCAGGAAAATGGGTTTATATGTCACAACAATTCCAAAGTATTCTGATATAAACTATTATCCATCTCCAGATAGAGAAATGATGAACTCTGTGTGCACCCTGAAACATTTTTCTTTCTTTTTTCCCCCCTGCAACATGGTTAATGTGAAAATGTTTTGCATGACTTCATATGTATAATGGATATTGTATTTCCTGCCTTTTCAATGGGTGGGGGAGGGGTAGAGGAAGGAAGAGAATCTGGAACTGAAAATAATTTTTTTTAAATGGGTTTATATGGACTGACATAATAGCTAGCATTTCTATAGTTCTTTAAAGTTTGCAAAGTGCTTTACAATTATTTTTCTCATTTGATCCTTACAACAACCCTGGGAGGTAGGTGCTATTATTATCCCCATCTTACTGATGAGGAAACTGAGACAGGCAGAGCTTAAGTGACTTGCCCAGGGTCACACAGCTAGTTCAGATCTGAGGCAAGATGTGAACTCAGTTCATAAGGAAAAGATATCATTATGGGAAAGCTGCAACAAGTCACTTCTTTAGCTACTGGGAGTTTTATCTCAATTACTATATAAATGTGTTATTCTTGCCCAGATTAAGAACCAGACAGATGACCTCAAAACAGCCAATTAAAATCAGGCCTTCCAAGCCATCAAAAAGGGCTATCAGAACCAGTTAGGGAGGGTAAAGAAAGAGGAGGAGGAGGAGGAAGTCTCAGACCACACCTCATGAATAGTTCACCTCCACTTACCACAAGCAACAGCTGCTTGTAGCTGGAAGTGAAGACGTGTTGAGTCCATGCGGGATGAGTGAGCACCTTGCAACACTGGTCTATGAGTCAATATGTAGGCAGGAAAGGACCCCAGGCAACAATGCCACTCTCATTTTTCCTTGTGAGGATGAGTTGTTTCCTGCTGGGAAGGGTTACTCTTCTACCAAGGCTTCTCAGGCCTTTATTCTCACCATCAGGCCATTTTGCAAAGACTTAATACTTATTTTGCCAAATGCTTGAGGGAAGTTTTTATATGCTGGGGTTTTATGAGCTATTATGATCAGTAATGAAGGGGTCTCAGGAAGCATGAAAGCCTATACTGAAAATTCAATGCTTCCACCTGAGTTCACCCACATGTTATATTATACACTTGAGAATACTTCAGTCAAACAGGAAGATTTACAGTCAGCGTGTCCATCCCTCTGCCTCCATCTAAGTCAGTGATACAGTT